ACCATCCTTGTACAGCATTTGACAAATACGTTAGAATGATAATTAATTAATATAATAAATAGATACATTACGTTAGGAATAGATCAAGTGAAACATCTATTATTAAATGGACTTGTAACACAAACTTTATTTATCGTATTATAATTCGCATATAATTGCAACCTCTATTAATTGTTGTTTGTGAACTAAACAATTCTTATCACTTTTGCAATTTGGGTAGTTATTAATTCTACACAAGTTAGGTAAGATTTTCAGGTGGGATACGAGAAGCAAGTGCATGTATAGTTTGATTTTGAGATTAGAGGTAAAGTCAAAGTTTATAAATTTGAATAAATTTGATTATTCTAGATATAAATTTAGATATATGGATTTGATATTATAAAAAAATGTATATGAAATCATATATTTTTTCCACAATTTGACATATTATTTAGGGATAAGAGTCTGAAAAATACCTCAAATTTGGTCGAATTTGTTATTGCGATACTAAACTTTCATGATGTATGTGTTTGTCCTAATAATTAGTAATCAATATATAAGTTGTGAATTAGAAAGATGATGTGACATATCTCTTAAAGTATATTCCTATTATATTAGTTGTTTATATATGTTTGAGCTTATTATTTTAATGCTTAGCTACCATTAAATTTTTAAATACATCTATATTTTCTTTGTGAACTCGGAAGAAGAAGCATGAGATAGAACAAAAGAATATAGGAAGTAAGATCTTTACTTGAGTAAAATAAAGAATCAATTTACGGCTAGGATAGGAATATAAGTAGATCGTCTAACTTAGTTACAAAATGGGAAGATAGATAAATGTGTGTGGATTGGTTTGCCATATCTGTGCTCAACGATGTAGGTGTGAGACCACTTTGGATAAACGATAGATGATTGGAAAACCATCACCATAATATTAAACTCATAAATAACAACTAGATAAGTGAAACTAAGTCTATGAAATCAAATACTTTACAAGATTGTGAAACAAAGTTGTAACCTGGAATCTCTCTCCAGTAGTGATCACAATTTTTATTTATTTTTCAGTCTTTAAATTTAAGTACATATAAATAACAATCAAATATCTTCTTTTGGTTACTTTAACACTTGTCTAAAATTCGAGTATTAGAATTTTCTAGATTCTTGCTAAATCACAAGTCCTTGGGTACGATATCCACACTACACAAGTTTGTATGACTTGAACGACCATGTACACTTGTGTGTGTTGAGAGTCGTCATCACAGGGATGTCATTTTTAAGGAACATGTGTTTCCTTTTGCCAAACCTTTTTCCACAGTTAAGAGTACCTCTCACATTTCATGACCTGGGGGCTGGGAGTGATGTATATTCTCATGATCTCACGTCACTTCACATCCCTGAACCACATACAAGAGCAACAGATAAACAACAATGAGATTCCTGGCATTGAGAATGTTGCAATATCAAAGGAGAGTAGTACAGATGAGACACTTGTTGAACCGATAAATGATGATCGTGCAACTGCAACACCTGTTGCTGTGTTGCTGAGATATCTGGTGAAGCAGAACTACACAATGTTGGGCGTCAATCAGGTTCTGTTGAAGTCAGAAGATCTGATAGAAATATCAAAGAGCCATTGTGGCATCAAGACTATTTCAACACTAAAAATGCTAATGGAATAGTCCTATATCCTTTATCAGGCTGTCTTTCATACTCTAATAGAGCTCAGAAACTATGCAGAAGCTTCTAAGGATCAAATATGGATTGAAGCCATGAGTTTGGAGATAAAGGCATTGGAAGAAAATAGTGCATCGGAAAACTGCTATAAGTTCAAAATGGCCAATGGGTGTACAAGATAAAGTATAAAGCAAATGGGAAGTAGACAGATTCAAGTCAGACTAATTGCAAATGGATACAACCAAAAATAAGGGCCAGATTACCATGAGACATTCTCACCAGTATGGGTGTACAAGATAAAGTATAAAGCAAATGGGAAGTAAACAGATTCAAGGTCAGACTAATTGCAAAAGGATACAACCAAAAATAAGGGCCAGATTACCATGAGACATTCTCACCAGTATGGGTGTTCACGGTTTGGTTAAAAACTGATCCAAACCAAAAATCGAATCAAATAGATAAATTTATATACACAAATTTTATAATTATATATACACAATATATTATTATTTATAAATATTTTTAAATACTTTGTATACTTTTGCGTGAAAATTTTATTTATCTCTAATAGGTTAATGAACTTTACACCTTAAGCTTATTTATTAGACGAAAGTCATGAACCCAAATTCATTTATTCAAAGAAACAACAATGAGATTTACCTATATACATTTTTTTGTATTTTTCATCAACAATTCACTTGATTAAAGCTTATAGATATTAAGAAATTTTGTCTATAATCCAAGAATTTTAGCTACCACAATAAAAGGTTAATCACAGATATAACTTGGAAACTGGTGAAAAATTCTTTACTAATTGTAGGAAAAAATAAAAGAGAGAAATATCATTATGTTTTATTAAAAAAAAATTAAAAAAGGTGAACCAAACCGATGGATATGCATTATATTTGGTTTGGTTTTGGTTTACCCAAATCAATTCCAAACCGAACCATGAACACCCACTCACCAGTTGCCAAAATGATAACTCTGAGATTCGTACCTAAGTTGTATCAAATGGATGTATATAATGCATTTTTTGCAAGGAGATTTGTATGAGGAGGTGTATATGGAGTTGCCTCAGGGCTTTAGAAGAGAAGGAAACAAAATGTAAGCAGATTAATGAAGTCCTTGCATGGGTTACACAGGCATCAAAGCAATGGAACATCAAGCTTAGTGAAGCTTTAACAAATGCAGGACACAAGCAGAGTCGGCATGATTATTCCCTATCTGCTAAGGCAAGGACAGAAGTTTGTAGCAATTTTGATCTATGTGGATGATCTGATGATTACTGGAAATAGTGAAGAGTTCATATAAAAGGGTATTGAAACAGATGTTCAAAGTGAAGGACCTTGGTGAATTGAGATACTTCTTGGGGATAGAAGTGTTAAGGTCAAGTAAAAGGATCCTGTTGAACTAAAGGAAGTATGCACTTCAATTAGCTTCAGATTTAGGATTGGGAGGATCTAAGCCAGTATCTACTCCTATAGATCTGAATCAGAAGTTCACTTCAGTTGAATATGATATACATGCCGGGATGAGAGGTGATGCAGTGTTAGAAGACATCACTGAAAATCAAAGACTGATAGGGAGATCAATTTACTTGGCAGTTACAAGGCCAGATATAGTATTTGTTGTGTAAACACTCAGTCGGTTTATGCAAGTACGTAAGACGTCTCATTGGGAAGCAACATTGAGAGTTGTGAGATACATCAAACAAAGTCCAAGAATGGGGATTTTGCTAAGCAACACAGGTGAAGATAACCCGACATGGTTCTGAGATGCAGATTGTACATCATGTCCAAACACTAGAACATCAATGACTGACTATGTAGTGAAGTTTGGTGAATCATTGATTTCATGGAAGTCAAAGAAGCACACAGAATCAAGAATTTCTGCTGAAGCAGAATACAAGAGTTTGGCAACAGCCACTTCAGAAGTTGTTTGGTTGTTGGGTCTGTTTAAAGAGTTGGGGGTGAACATCATAAGTTTAGTAAATGTGCACTGAGATAGTAAGGCTACTTTGCAAATAACAACAAATCCCATTTTCCATGAAAGGATCAAACATATAGAAATTGATCGTCACTTTGTGAGAGATAAGGTCAGGGAAGGAGGAATTCAACCAAGGATCAACAGGTTGATTTATTAACCAAAGGACTTGGATATGCTCAACACAATTTCCTTTTGAGCAAGCTTGGACTTTTAAACATTCTACACCTTAGAGCTAGAGGGGGAGTGTGAGAGTTTGCAAGCTGAGGAATAGTTACAAGTTAGTTACAACTACAGTTAGCTGGCAGTTGAAGTTAGGTGGACTTAACTGACAGAGTTAGTTAGTATGTATAGCTGTCAAGATAGAAAATACAACTGTGTACTAGGATATATACTGGTATGATTCATCTCGGTTGTAATTGAATCAAAATGCTTGAATAGATAGTTACATGTTCTCTCTCCCTTTCTCTCTAAGATTTCTGTTTAGCTCCTTTTCACTGCATCTATGAACGTGTTCATGGAGAACTGAGTGTGTGATTGGTGAAATTCATAACAAGTAGCCATCAACGTTTTCAATTCCTGATTAAAAATGCTTGTCTGGCGGTGCTAATTGGAGAAAACAAAAATGCATGCTATACTTGCACCAGCCAATGAATGCAAGACATGTATCCATTTAAATAGACATTTGTCACTTAAAGTATGTAATTAGACGTTTCGAAAGTTAGAAAACGTTTTCACAGAGGAACGTATTCAAAGTCCCTCCAACACTGAATTCTCCTGGAACCTTTTTGGTGTTTCATTTAATGCCCTTTCACTGATCTTTATGCATGATGTCATTACACCAATTTGTATATCATGCAGTGAGTTAATGAATTCACTAATCAAATTTGTGCAAAGCTCAATCTATGACTCATATTATCAATTCTATTCAATAAGCTCAATCGTCAAGCTCAATGACTCAGAAATTAGCAAATTGTTTAGCAGAGAGAACTGAGTGAGTTGCAGTAACATTTAAAAGCTATGTTGCTCGGACTCTTCAAAAATGTAGATGGGTGCATGTCGGATCCTCCAAAAATAGTGTATTTTTGAAGGATCTGACACGGGTGCAGCAACATTTTTGGAGAGTCCGAGCAACTTAGTTTAAAAGTAGTTTTACAATGTTGAGTAGATACTCAAAAGCACTTTTTCAACTCAAACTTTTTGGTCCATAATCAAACACTAAAATGATTTCCTTTCAACTTGGTACCAAAGATGATAAAAATAAAAAATGAAAAACTAGAGCAAAATGAAGACAAGAATAACAGAAAGAAAAACACAACATTTGTAACTAGTCTTTTAAAGGGTATACCATTTTTTTAATTATCGTCAATTTAAATTTTTGAATGGAAGCAAACACTTGGTCAAGTGCTTTAAATAAGAATGTAATTTTTATATCTTGAGCACCAAATAACACTGGCAAAATATTTGTTGTTTCTCTTTAATGCACTTTTGGCAAAAGCACTGCCACACAGAAAACTACGTTAACCAACTAGTGTGGGATAATCAAATCTGAAACTCATCAACCGTGTCAAAAATCAATAGAGAATGTTGGAAGAGATCTCTTACATCTGATAATGAAAAGAAGTTTTGACTTGAACTTGGAATCATCGATGCTTCCCAATCGTTTTACACCATTTGCCCAGCTGTCCATGTCCTCTTTCACTTCCCAGATTTTGCTTTCTGTTTCCCAGTCCCAAACTCTCTTAATGGTCGAGAATAAATCTCCATCACACTTTGTGTTGGTACTTGAATGCTAAGTGATAAATTCAACAGAAACAAGACAAAGTAAATTAGAAGCTAGTTCAATCAACCAGCAGAGTAAAAATTATCTTTGGAGTTATCATGGCTCGTGCTATAAGTATTAGTACTTCCTTGTTGTACGGATTTTACAAAGATGATTCATCTCATTGAGTTTTGTAGAGGGAAAATGCACTGGCTCAAAATTTAAGATCAGAATTGAAACGAAACTGGAAAAAAAGATATATTTTTTTAATATGTCGAAAAAAAATAACGTGTATTTTCAATTATTTATAATAAAAAAAATACCGTGTATTTACCTCTTTGGAGAAAGACGATATAACCAAGGACCCATCTGGATGATCTGGGCTTCCAGAATTAAATCTGAGATGTTGTTTTACAGCAATGCTTGCCATCTCTACATCAAGAAATCCAAATTCCACCATCCTTTTGAGAACTCTAGCTTGGAAGGTTTTTCCTCTGAGAATATCACATCAAGGTTTATATTTTCAGACAAGCAATAGAATGCAGAAGTACCCCATAAGAATACCAGAAGTACTCAGGACCAGAAGAAGCTACATCCAACAGGGAAAAATAAGTTACAAGTTTCTATGAGCTACAACCTGCTACTGTCCCTGAATGGTGACCGGAGCTCTGGCGCTGGTATCATTGCTGCAAGCATAGCACATTCTCCCAAGCTAAGAAGGGATATGTGCTTTCCAAAATACAATTTTGATGCAGATTGAATACCACAAATACCATGTCCCCAATAAATCTGTTTTGCCTTAGGCTCTGTTAGAATTCACGCATAACAAGACGAAAACCAAATAGATTACAGGGACATGTCATGGAGGGACGAACATGAAATGTATATCCATTTGATAATATAGTTGAAATATCATCTAGTTGATGATTTTTAACCAAGAAAGGTCAATTTGCATTTCTCAGTTTTATCTCCATCCCAAGTTCCACAACTGGACCATAAACAAATTGATCTAATTAAAAAATAAACTAATATGAAGAAAGAAACAAAGGCAAAATGCTTTTATTTTCCAGACGCTTAAGTAATTTGTGAATGAAGTTATGATAGCAATAAATAAAGATGTACTTGACCTTACACAAATAAGCACTCAAGATTTCCATTTTTGAGATTGTTCCCTCGAGTGCTAAAGCCAGAATCATCTCAACAATTTTCCTCAAAAATGTGCGTTCATTCTTCAAGAATGAGATTTTGACAAGCTGCCAAGGATAAGTAGATTACAATGAATGAACAAAAATACACGACTTGAAAAAGAGTCTAACAACACATGCAAAAAGCCAAACTCTTGCACCTCCAATCAATAGAACCAAATGGCAGGTAAATAGTGAGAATAAAGAACATTTTACCATGGTAGACAATATTATTTTTTAAGCAGAGACGCAGAAAATTAAGATTGACACAAGTATCAGGGATAATGACGAGAGAAGCAAACAAGTAATCAGTTTATGCCATAATGAAACTTACAATTAGTTCTCCAAGATGCCTCATCAGACTGGTGCTTAATATTACTTTTAGCATGTATCTAAGACCAAAGAGGAAACAATAGTTTGGAAAAAGAACGAATAGAAATGGGAATTCTGATGTCTCGTATTCAGATAATGGAAGCATTTCGAAGAAATTGTAAACAACAAGTAGAAAGAAAAGGAAGAACAAAAAAGAATGGGAATTTCAGTGGTATGGAGGTATTTGCCACATAAATGAAACTTTAGTAATGGTACAAACATGATCTCAACAAACTGAACCTAAATTTTGAATTCTTGACTAATAGCAAAGGATGCAGAGCCTTACAAGTTTCAGAAAAGAAAAAAAAAGGACGGAGAGCCAGTTTGGATCGACTTATTTTAAGTGTTTTTAAGCCAAAATAGCTTTTAAGCACTTTTGAAGTGTTTGGATAATTTTAAAAGTGCTTACTTACACTTGATTTTAAGCTAAAATAGTAAAAATAGGCCAAAAGCCAAAACCTATGGCTTATAAGTCAAAAGTCAATCCAAACCGCTCGAAGTTGTAAAAAGAAAAGCTGGCAGCCATCTGAACTTTAAAAGGCATTATAATTGGCTAGATCTTTAAATTGGAATTTCAAAAGATGTTGTCACATATTACTTCGTGAGCATAAGAAATCATGTTAAATTAGGGATGCTGTTAAAATCACATTTGATTCCTTTGGCTCGTATAGTTGTGTGAGAAATATTGGAGAAAAATATTATTGAATTTTTGTATTTACATTATTACATTGAGACTTTTTTTATAGACACTACATTAGACTCCTTTTACAACCAGAACACAACATGACAATCACTTTCCAAGTAGGATTCTATATATTATTCTTATTTCTATTCATATTCTAAGTAGGATTATATATACTACTAGTAAAATAATACTTAAAACCTATCAGACATTAAAACTAAAACACTATATTATCTTACATACAAGATTACGTAGTAACAAACATTAATAATGTAAAGGAAAATGAAAATCATTACATCTTATCATTTAGCCTTAATAACATAAGCATAAATTATAAATTAATGATTGTAAAAATACATACCAGGATCTGTAACATAAGCAATAGTGTCAGTGAGCCACTCAACATAAGCAAAGTATACAAATATTTAATTGTGAAGAAGAAGAAGAAGAGGAGGAGGTTCAGAATTTTCGTTGTGCTAAATGAATGGAAATCCCTCTATTTATAGACAACAAAGGGTAGTGTGAACAAATGTTTATTGTGCCTTATCAGAAAGGTTACAACTATTTGAAAAAGTTGCAACCCTTCGGAAAGGTCACAACCTTTCATAAAAGTCATAACTTTTCATAAAAGTCGCAACTCTTTATAAAAGTCACAACTCTTCATTAAAGTCGCAACTTTTTATAAAAGTCACAACTTTTCATAAAAGGGAAGGCTAATTTTGTAAATAAATAAATTAAACGGGAATTATGGTTTGTGGTGGCGCCACGTAGGCGGGCCTAAGGTTCTCTTTTATATGATATATGATTCTTGTTCCTATTCCTATTCTAACACTCCTCAAATTGGTTGCATACAAGTCATATGTACCTAGCTTGTAACAGATGTAATTGATATGAGGACCGATAAAGGGATTGGTGGAAATATCTGCAAGTTGATCACTCGACTTTACAAATTTTGTAACAATATCTCCTAAGAGTATCTTTTCGCTGACAAAGTGACAGTCAATCTCAATGTGTTTAGTCCTCTCATGAAATACTGGATTTGATAATGCACAATGTCGATAAAACACAGAGTGATCAACTCCACTACCTACGAGTCCTGCCAAATTCTTAAATTATTGTGCAGAACTTCCCAAACCAATCTCGAGACAATTTCAGACCGTAGAGTGACCTCATAATCGACAAACAAGCTTAATAGACTCCCCTTGAGCAACAAAATCAGGTGGTTGCTCCATATAGACTTCTTCCTCAAGATCATCGTGGAGAAAAACATTCTCAATGTCCAACTGATTGAAAGGCCAATGGCGAACGACAACCATAGATAGAAAAAGACAGACATATGCTATTTTAATCACGGTAGAGAAAGTATTATTTGGGCAAATATTTGAGTATACCTTTTTTTTGGGCAAAAGTAAATTTGATACAAAGAGAAAACAGTGTTAGAAAACTCAGATCTGCTAGAAACAATGCAACAACGGCGGGAAAGTGCTCGAAATCTCATATGAAATATATGGATCGTCTCGAAATCAAGAGATTAGTCGATATTGAACAAGAAAGTCGTTGAAGACTGGTCGTACAGGCTCACACACTAACACGGTCTTTGAAATCCTAGATCTAGCTGCGCATGAGGGATCTGTGATCAGCGACGCAGGTTGGGCTTTGGTAGCCGGAGGTTGTTGAACCTTAAGGTGGTGTTGGATTTTGCACAACATTGTCGAAAATTGAAACTACGTAAGTCACATCTGAGGGGTCATCGAAAAGATGTACTAAACTATGCAAATCAGATTTGAGGAGTCACAAGACAGACGCACAGTGCTACGCAACTCAAATATGAGAAAGTAGTCCGAAAAGATATATGGTGCTATGCTACACAAATAAAAAATGGAAAAGTAGTCACAGGCTATGTTGCTCGGACTCTTCAAAAATGTCAAGAAGTGCGTGTCGGATTCGCCAAAAGTAGTGTATTTTTGGAGAATCCGACACGGGTGAGGCATCGAAAGTGAAGAGTCCGCGCAACTTAGGTCACTGGAAAGATGCATCGTTCTACACAAATAAAATATGAAAAAATAGTCACCGGGAAGATGCACGGTGCTACACAAATCGGATACGAGAAAGTAGCCACCGGAAAGATGCATAGTGCTATACAAATCGGATATGAAAAAGTAATCACCAGAAAGATGCACGGTGTTACGCAAATTGGATATGAGAAAGTAGTCACCTAAAAATTGGCACGGTGCTACACAAATTAAATATGGAAAAGTAGCTACCGGAAAGATGCATGGTGCTATGCAAATCAAATATGAGAAAGTAGTCACCGGAAAGATGGTTCGGTGCTACAGAAATCAATTATGAGAAAGTAGTCAACCAAAAAGATGTGGGGTGCTACTTTCTTTGTCTCGAATGCTACTCAAATCAATCATTCTAAGCATGATTATTTTTCATGCATATAGTATTGCCCCAACTTTTGTTAACATAATCATTAGCCAGACAGGCACAATATATGAGTAATAACTGTCAATTTTGCTGAATGAGTTCTCTCAAATGAGAGTTCTTCCATTAAATAGAAAGAATTTTGATTTACATATCTAAAAATCTGCTATATATCCTTAAATATATGTTATTCCTAATTGTAATATCTCTGAAAATATGCTACATTAATCTATGCTATCTCCTATCATCATTACACAAATATTTAAAGTTATAACATAGATATGTACAGATATTTAGAATCTGTCCAATCGTGCTAACATCCCCCCTCAAATTGATGCCGGTGGATCAAAAAGCATTAATTTGCCTACCAGAAACTGATGACGTGCCATAGACTTTGTAAACACATCAGCTATTTGAAGATCACTGGATACATGTGGAAGAGTAATGACTCTCTTATCTACAGCTTCTCTAATATAATGACAATCTACTTCAATGTGTTTGGTCCTTTCATGATAAACTGGATTAGTACCAATCTGAATAGCACTTGTGTTGTCAGCATGGAGAGGAGTGGGATTAGATTGAGGAAATCCAATTTCTGCAAGTAAACCACGAAGCCAAACAATCTCAAAGCAAGCAGTAGACATTGCTCGATATTCAGATTCGGTGGAAGATTTTGATACACGATCTTGCTTCTTGCTCTTCCAAGATATCAAGGAATCTCCAAGAAACATGCACCAACCCGTGACGGAGCGACGAGTATCAGGACATCCAGCCCAATCAGAATCACTGAATGAATTAAGTTGAATCTCAGAACCACTAGGAAAGAATAATCCACGAGTAGATGTTCCCAAGAGATATCGAATGATGCGATGGACAACCACCAAATGTAGATGGTGTGGAGCCTGCATAAATTGACTCACTTGTTGAACTGCAAAAGAGATATCAGGCCGAGTAATAGTAAGATAATTTAGGCTCCAAACTAATTGCCGATACAAAGTTGGATCAGGAAGAAGTTCTCCTTCCGCACTACAGTACTTTACATTCAATTCCAATGGAGTATTTACAGAGGAAGATTCTTGAAGACCAGCCAAAGCAATCAAGTCCTAAGTATATTTGTGTTGGTTCAAGAACACACCTAAAGAATTATAATGAACTTCTAACCCCAAAAAGTAGGGATAACGGTCTGAAAAATACTTTAACTTTGGTCGGATTTGCTGTTGCGATACTAAACTTTCATGAGGACCTATTACCTCCCTAGACTATTTAATACCATATTTTTTACCCCCTGAACTATTTAATAGTGTATTTTAAAGGTATATATGTGTCTACGTGGACAAATATATATGTTTAGAATACAATATTAAATAGTCTAGGAAGGTAATAGGTCCTCATGAAAGTTTAGTATCACAATAGCAAATCCGACCAAAGTTGGGATATTTTTCTGACCCTTATCCCCAAAAAGTATGTAAGAATACCAAGATCTTTCATATGAAAAGAATCCTTAAGCTGCTGCTAGAGGCTAGTGATTAGTGAAGAATCAGTTCCTGAGATAATAATGTCATCTACATACACCAAAAGAAGAACACAA